CCCGGAATTGTGGTTGGTGGGCACAATATAAATAATTTAAGTTATGCTGACGACACAGTCCTGATAGCAACAAGTCAGAAAGAACTACAGGAAATGATAGACATTGTGGTGTTAGAAAGTGGAAGAATGGGCCTCAGTTTGAATAATGGGAAGACAGAAGTAATGGTTGTATCAAAGAAACGAATTTTTCCTTAGTGTGTAATAAAAGTTGATGGTGTTATTTTAGGACAAGTACAGAAATTTAAGTATCTGGGCACATGGATAACATCAGATGGAAGATGCATAACTGAGATAAGAAACAGAATAGGACAGGCAAAAACTGCATTTTATAAAATGAAAAACATCTTGTGCAATATATCCTTGTCATTGAGAGTAAGAAAAAGAATTCATGCTTGCTACATACATCCAGTTTTAACATATGGCTATGAATCCTGGACAATAGGTAGGCAGGCCAAACAATTCCTGGAGGCTTTGGAGATGTGGTTTTACAGAAGAATGCTTAGAATACCTTGGACAGCCAAAAAGAGCAACCAAGAGGTTTTGAAAGAGGCGCGAGCCCGAAGACAACTTATCACAGACATCAGCAGGAGACAGTCATCATTTCTCGGCCATGTTATGAGAAGAGGGAAAATAGAACATGTTGTGACCACTGGAAAGATCTGTGGAAGGAGAGATAGAGGAATACAACGAGAGCCTGAGTCTGAAGAATCTCAGCGCAGTGCACAAACTCCGTTGAACCGGCGAGGATTCTAAAATACTTTGAGTAGATTTTTAACTCCAAATTTTGCCCGGGCAGCGCCGTTAGGCTACTATTTTCGACTGCCAACTGTCGAGGGATTTTTTACGTGCGCGAGAATACACACGGGTGTTCGATCACACTACCCAGAGACTAGGGAAAGTTAGTAGAAGTCCACGTGAAAAAATCTCAGCCTTCACCAGAACTTGAACCTGGGACCATGCGGACACCATACCGTGAGACCACTCAGCCCCCAATACATACAGTGTTTAGGATATTATCAAGTTACGCATATATTATCCTTTGTGTGTGTGTTTGTGTTTGTTAAATAAAATGAAAACAATTATTACAATAATTTCTGAAGCTAATTTTAGTTTTGAGCAGCTACTGTTTCTTGATTTAATTGGGACTAGAACATTTGAAAGGGGTCTTGATAATCACACTCTTGGGGCTGTTGTTCCATGACTGACTATAGCAGCACAGTGGGGGGAAAATGGTCGGAATTAAATTAAATAGTAGGCAAACAAGTCATAAATGGAACTATTTCGTTTATTATGAATCAAGTGAATAATAAGATCATTTGCAAACACTACTGAGTTGGTGATGCGGAAATATAAAACTAGTTCATATACCATATGAAAAAACTAAATTTTGTTTTAAATGAAAACAAAACAATCAAATTTAATTGTTCTGTACAGAGTAAAAATGCAAACGATTTAAAGAAGAAAAAAATTACAATGAACAATCTCCACAACATTATAAGACAAAACATTCTTAGGGATAATTATGCTGTAGGAAGGAAGCTGTAAACATGACAAACAAAGATATACTGCGATTCAAGTGGTTGAAGCTCAACTAGCTTTAGTATGACAGTGTATACAACCAGGAAAAAGACAGGAAGTGCTAAAGATCAATTGCAGCCAAGAGTGATTGTCAAGATGAAGTTCTACAGAATAAACAAAAACTTTCGAACCTATTTAACTGTACGGAATGTCATCAGCCTCATACAAATTACATTTGATATCACACATAATAGCATAGAGGTCTAAATATGAGCGAGTGAAAAGAAGATAAAGAACTGTAATATATTAGAAACATTTGTTGACACTGTGCACCATGTTTGATTAAACAGCCATTAGAAATCTACAGCTAAGCACCAGTAAGCAAGCATCTTTCCTGTAGCTACATACGGACGTCAGTCGTTGATGATCTAGCCGTTCGTAAAAAGGGGGGGGGGGGGGCAGCTTTTGTGCTGAAGTACTTTAAAAAGATTCTCAGAATACGAAGGACAAAGAAGAAAGTAAATACTGACATCCTAAACGATCTGAACACCAAGAAAGACTAGCTAGTGAACATCATCTTGTCTCAGAAACTGGAATATCTTGGTCATTTCAAGTGCCACGGCAGACAAAAAACAACAACAACAATAGCAGAAGGCTTAGTGCCAGGAAAGAGACGCAGGCGCCCATCAGCACAAAGATAAGCACACACATTATAAATGACATCTTCAGTGGGAAAATGCAATAGACGGGAGAGCTGGCGAGAGCGAGTTTTTTCCAGGCAGACCGTGATGAGAACAACGAAGTTCTGCAAATGATCTGCTTCATGATCAAGGGGCTACTTTTCAGTGATTGCTATGAAATGTTCACGTTTTCTTCTTACAGTCTGTGCCATGTGGCGTTTGTTACTCCGTCTGTCCAAGCCGCCCATCTGTCTTTGCATACTGTCAATTATTTGTAATAAAGGTGCTATATTTTTTTGATTACCCAAATGACGTCACAGTGACTCACGGAACAGTCTAATAATTTCAAGGGTGGTAAGATGGGGCTTTCCTCATTTCCAGAAGGCGTCGCCGAGTCTTCTTTGAAAAAGTGGCGCACTTCGCGCCTCTTATGACTTGTTTGTCGCGTCTTATTGAAGTGTTTATCGGTGTTTGCCGCCGCGTCTGTGTTGTTCCAGTCTCCACGAATTTCCTCCAGTCAGCAGCATCTGTGCCTGACAAGAAGACCAGCATTGCATTCCTGAAAAAGCATGGCGCTTTTCACTGCACGAGACGTTGTACGGCAAGGGACATGGCTGGAAGGGTCGCGGATACCGAACAGACAGATCGTTCTGTGTATATACTGCTGGTCTCACGGGATGACAAGCATTTAATTTTGCCAAGTAGAACTGGGCATGTCACCGACTACAACTGTGGAATGGGGCAACTACTTGCTGGAGGTTTGTGCGCCATACAGTATAACATTATCTCTCGGTGTCCTCCTTTCTCTTCTGTTTTCCTAATGCAACGATGTGCTGGAGTTTGCCTCTTCTTACAACGTGCCCAAAGATTACTAGTTGTCTGTTTCTGAAGATATTACAATTTCTCTCTGTGTGAGCACATTTGATTCATGCTATCGTCATCAAGTTATTTCTGTTACCTCTCCATTGAGATCTCGTCAGTTTAACTACCAGTCCTCCAATGTCATGAAATGGCAACGGTTAATTTCTCTTGTTTAGACATGTGCAAACAAAAAGACATGGTAGTGAATGTATGCTCACCCAATAAAAAGCGACAGGTACATTCGAGACTGGTTCATATTGTATTTAAATTGTAAGAGATTCTTTTATTTACTTAACTGTATTCAGTTGCTTTTGCAGCATACACCTAGCAAGACAGCAAAATATGGCTGGGAATAAACTGTGCAATCTATTATTTGTGTCTCCTTTGTTCAAATTCGTCTATACAACCACATCCACACACTTCCACATAATTTCTTATGAAGTTGCTTACTATCTATGATTTACCTCCCACACATAAAGATTGGCTGTATGTATATAGCCACTGAGAACTCTCTCCTTCCCTATTGGCAAAGAAATATTGCATGACATAGTCTTTATCTGGTAAAATACTGTTTTCAAAACTAATACAAGAAATACACACACACACACAAGAGAATGTATATAACAAACATTATATTGTCACTGAACTCATAGTTCCATCACTACAACTCATGCATCTTTGCCGTAGCAGCTTATGGGTGTGAGTCATAGACCCTCACTCAGTCAACGGAGAAACAAATCCTGGCTTTTGAACTGAAACGCTACTCACAAATTCTTAGAATTCTTTAGACAAAAAAGAGGAAAAGCGCCCACATCCTACATGATATGTGCATCGTAGAATAGGGCAAATAAGCAGCATTTGGTCCCCAAAGCTGACGTTTTTTAGACTACAATGAACGCTATGGTAGCTTAAGGGGGAAAACGGAGACGGAGGGTACAGATTGCGGGAAATGAGGCAGAGGCGAATGTGGATAAAGACATTGATAGTGCATTGTCTATGAAAGCATATAGAGAATTCGTTAGTGCAATAGAGACTTCCAGGAGCGCTGTAACGAGAGGGACATTCTGTAAAGGATTCGTTGATTGGTGATAATATGTCAGGTTTAGCTGATGGCTTTGAATCGATACATTTCATCTGACAACGTCATTATGATCACCTTTTATTTTTGTGTAAACCAACCCAAAAGGGGAGAAGCGTGTACTGTCGTGTACTTTGCGATACGCAAATTTTACTTTTGATAGCAATACATCCCAAACCGTTTCGATGTTCAGTTGTTTTATTAGATATCATTAATTTTAAATTAGTTAGTTAGTCATTCTTCTTGAGCCTAGGGCAGCGCATGGGGTAGAGGTCATAGCTCTCCGTGTCTGGCGGTTCGTTGCCACATGTTTTAGGTCTTGGATGTTTATTAGGTCCTTGGTTGGGTCCTCCCTGAGGATGCATCTACACAGGGTCTCTCTTCTTGGTCTTCCCATTTTTTTCCCTCTTTTGGTATCCATATGGGAGCATGATTAGGGAGTCGTTCCTTATCCATTCTGAGTGCAAGACCGATGTAGTTCCAGCAGCGCTTTCGTATACATCTGGATGCATGATCTTGATTGGTCTCTTGTCTTATTTGTGTATTGGATCTGAAATTTGTCCAGTGATGATTTAGCTTTCTTTTAACACATTTATTCTCAAAATTGTCAATTTTTTTGTTTAATCTAGAACTACCATTGCTTTCTAGCTCTCGCATCCATAAGTTAGCACTGCAATCACACAAGAGTTGCAGATCTCAAGCTTTGCTAATTTCAAATTAGCCATTAAATTTTCACAGATCCCGCTAGCAACGTGATTATATGGCCCTGTGAGCTGTTGCCATAAAAAGCAGTTATGCAAAATTCACAACCAGACTAGAATACAAAGCATCAGAGATTACAGACAGCAGGCTGACGAAACTCCTCAAGGGTCTTCGAAAACATCATCATCATCGTGCCGAAGTCGATACTCTGCGAGCACGTAAAACATAATAGCGACAACCAGGAGGGTCATCAGGAGGTACAATTTGGCGGAGACGCACATCCAGGTGCCACTGCCAAACATCACTGCCAGGCCGATGCTCTGCACCAAGCGGTAGTTGGTGAAGGCGATCTCTGGGGCATCCGTGCAGGTTAGGCAGATCAAAGCTGAGGAATGTATGACAGATTAAGTTCGGCATAAATCCTTCATCTGTATGTGTTAGAGATACAGACATAACGTCGGACTTTTGGAGAGCAAGCTTATTGGTGGCATTAGCATTTCCAACACAAGTGGTGGTAGCAGTAGCAGGACTAGTAGTAGTAATGGTAGTGGTAGTAGTAGCAGTGGTGGTTGTGATTGTGTTGGTGATGGTAGTAGTAGGATAGACAATGAGTAATAAAAGGATTAGTCTTGTCTTGTCTTGTCTTGTCTTGTCCACAATTGCCTCACAGCGTAGTGGGGAGTCGCATTTTTCTATCCTGGGCCAGGTGTGTTGCACATGTTGTTGTTAGTCCGTGTTGCTTCAAAATCTCTGATATATTGTCTATCCATCGTACTCTCGGTCTGCCTCTTGCTCTAGGGCAGTAGTGCTGTTCGTTGTATGCTCGTAGAGGCAGTTGGTCGGTTTGCATTCGCATCAAGTGGCCAAACCACTCTATTTGTTGCTTCTTTATGTATTGCAGGCATGGTGTGGTTCCTACAATTGATCTAATGTTCTCGTTTCGAACTCTGTCTCTCCTTGTGACATTGGCAGCCTTACGTAAGCATCTCATTTCGCACGTCGTGATCTTTTTCTCCTGTGCTCTTGTTAGGGACCAGGTTTGGCATTGGTAGCAGAGGGTTGGTATAAACATGCAATTTATCAGTTGTCGTTTTAGTGCCATAGTGATGCTTGGGTGTTTTAGCAGTGGGGAGAGTTGGTAAGTTACCGCGTTCGCCTTTTGACATCTTGCCTCAAGTTCCCTATCAATTCTTCCATCATCTGTGAAGATGCTCCCCAAGTATTTAAATTGCTGCACTTGTTTGAGTTGTTCGTTGTTAACTTGAATAGTTAGTATATTAGGTGTTCTACTTATTTTCAGAATTTCTGTTTTGGTGATGCTGATCTTCATGTTATATTTGTTGCAGACTGTGTGTAGCGCATTTACGTGGATTTGAAGTTCTTTTTCGTTTTCATGAATTATGCTTTGGTCTTTTGCGAAAAGTATTTCGTTCAGTTGGGGATTTACTTCTTCAGGATCGGCGTGTATGTTTTCATTATAATGATCTCTTTCAACTAACTCTGTCTCATTGCTTGGTGAAGTAAACAGTTCGCTTATCATTACATGGTTTGCTGCTGTGGTTATTCTGTCCATGTATATATTGAATAGTAGTGGTGATAGTACACAACCCTGTCTTACTCCTGTTCTTGGTATGAATTCGTCTGTCACACCAACATTTGTTCTAACTACGCTTGAGCTTGTTTGGTACAGAGATCTGATGTTGTCTAGTAGCTGACCTTGTACTCCATAGTCGTTCAATATATTCCATAGTTTGTTCCTGTCTACCCCGTCAAAGGCTTTTTCTTGGACAATGAATGCTATATTGAGTTGTTTGTTATATTCTATTGCCTTTTCACTAAGTTGTCTAAGGGTGAAAAGGGCGTCTGTGCAACTTTTTCCTTTCCTAAATCCAAACTGAGCTTTACTCAGCTGTGTCTCTACAATATGTTTTGTTCTTGTCTCAAGTACTTTTGAATATAGCTTCCCTACGTGGCTCAATAAAGAAATTCCTCTGTATGTGTCACTCTCTTTTATTCCCCTTGTTTTTCCAAATTGGGACTATGATAGCTTTTTGCCAATCCTCCGGTGTTTTCCTTTCGTTCCATGCTACCGTGAATATTCTATGTAGCCATTTTGCTCCGGTTTTTCCGCACGCTTTAATTGCCTCGTTCGTTATACCGTCTATACCTGCTGATTTATTATTTGGGCTCATCTTGATAACTCTCTCAACTTCTTGAATTAGAATGCAAGGTTCTTCTTGTTCTTCCTTATAGGTGGAGTAGTATTCTTTTGTTTGTGTATTTGTTGGATTGAGTAGTTCGTAGAAGTATTCCTTCCATCTTTCCTTCTTTCTGATAGCGTTAAATAACGGTGTTCCGTTTTTATCACTAATAATATTGGTAGGGTTAAAACTTTCGTTCCTTATTCTCATAGAATGTACACTTTTGTAAAAGTCTCTAGGTCTTTCCCTTGAAATTTTCAAGTAGCAAGGATTAGTAGCAACGATAATAGCAGAAGTAATATCAGTAGTCATAACAGAATCGATAGTAGCAATAAATGTAGTTGTAGTAATAGTAGTAGTTGCAGCAGTAGTAGTAGTTGTTGTAGTGGTAGCAGTATCAGGACTAGTAGCTGTAGTATTCGAAGACGTGATATAAGTATCGAAGTGAAGACATAAATATAAGCAGCAGTTGTAATAGGTCAACTCTGGGGCTAAGTCGATGCGAACGCTTTGTGAAGCCGGGATGCCGGGTTCGATCCCAACTGCAGGCCATGCGCCTTGCGTCGGTTTCGACAGCGGTATCAAGAAAGCCAACCGTCCAGAAGCAATGGCAAACTACTGGATGTAAATTTGCATAGTAAAACAACACAACAGCCAGGAGCTATTGAGGTTGGTTCTGCAACGTCCTGTAAAGGATACGCAACTAACCTTAGTGGTAATAGAAGTACTAGTAATAATAGTAATAGTAGTTTTAGTAGTAGTAGTCGTAGTAGTAGTAGTAGTAGTAGTAGTAGTAGTAGTAGTAGTAGTAATAGTAGTAGTAATAGTAGTAGTAGTAGTAGTAGTAGTAGTAGTAGTAGTAGTAGTGGTAGTAGTAGTAGTAGTAGTAGTAGTAGTAGTAGTAGTAGTAGTAGTAGTAGTAGTAGTAGTAGTAGTTTTAGTACTACTAGTCCTGATACTGGCACAAATATATGTGTCAGCTGCACCCGCTTTAGAGACTCTACCCACTCACTGCCCTCGGATCCAGCCCTTCTCTATCCTCCTGGGCAGACTCACTGAGTCACTGAGTCTCCAATCATGTTATTGCTTTGGTCTCTTTGTGTTATGGAGAGAAGGAACTACATTCCCTGACCGTAACTGATATCACAATGGCCTATGATTCCTGAGCCTCCTTACAGTACTTTGTAATGTTATCGTCTGAAAGTTTTAAGAATAACAAAATGGAAAAACAAAGACAGACAATTCAGACATACTCTTGCACTGAGTCTGCCAGACGGAATCACAAACACCCCAAGCTGCGGCGAGAACGAAGAAGAGGACAGTCTTGTTTTCTGGAATCCAGATCAAGTAGCTGCAAAAATAAGAAACCCATATTATTGGTTACTGCGGACTGAACTTGCCACTTTCGAAGCTTTACATTCCTGGTGCACAAGTCCCGCGAGAAATGTGCTTTACTTTTATTGACCTATGTCTAGTTTCTCTAGTTAGTTTCTACTCGTATTTTAAAAACTATGAGGCGCCACATTGGTCAGGTCGCTTATTTAACACCTTTTTGGCATATGGGGCTAGACCTATATTTTATAGACCAGACGGCACTCGGTGGGTGATGTGGTCAACATCACACGGACCGCCTTTAATTCCCAGGACTTTACCTGATACCTGTCAAGGACTGTGTGGCCATGGAGCGACTGTAGGTGATGATAGTGAATGAAGGACCAGCACTTAGAGGACTGCTGAGTGACTACGCGCTCAACAGCCCACGGTCTTTCTGAACAGGAAGGAGATCATGTAGGTTGAGCGAACACTCCTGGATTCACGAACATTTGAATGGTAAACAGTGGACAAGACAAAAGGGACAGGAAAAGCGTCTTCGGGGAGTTTGATCAGATACTTGGACACGGCGTGATTGTGTTTTACAGCTAGATTGTTGGATAATTGACTTAATTTAGCAACGGTAAGCTTGTGATAACGTGTTAGCTTGGCAGTATTTTAATGTAAGTGTTAGTTAGGCAGTGTAACGCCTGTGTTAAAGAAAGAAAGTCCAGTGGCTTAGTTATAGTTGTTTTCACTCAAGTAATTAGCTGTGTCTTAGCGAGGTGGTTCGTAAATGGTTTTTGTCAGTTTAAGAAGAATACAGTCGTCTGGATAAGTAGAAGTCCTCAGGGACCTAAGAAAATGCTTCCACTTATCAGGATGTCTACTTATTCAGACAGCCCAGACAATAGAGAAAATTGCCGGGACTAAGCTGGTCATGTCAACTTAAACGAAATTAGACTTATCCGAGTTCGACTTCAGTGGACTCGACTGTATGATGATGTCCTGGGCACTGTTTACAAGCAACTCGTCGCCGCGGTGGTGTGGTATGTCTGATCATACCCAACAGAGCCGAGCAGTCACGCACCGGTCGTGGTGTAGCTTGGAGGGGAGCAGGAAAGAACTTGATTCAGAGCCGGGTCAGACCTGGGACAACTGGAGATGGCCAGTGTGTGAGCTGCGAGTTTAAAACACTCTGGAGGGTTGGGGTAGGGTTGTTATTTGAATCACCTCGGGGCTAACTGCTACTTGTTTTCTATAACGACATCATAGGACGATGTGTGTGTTCTGACGGCGTCGAGTTGGGTTGTGTTTAGGATAGATATTTGTGTCTTAGACCTGCTATTGAGCCTTTGCCAGTAGCACCATAAGCAGGTTTATGACAGTGCCCCATTTGAGGTTAAGTCAAATCGGAAGCCAAAGTCATTTAAAAAAAAAAAAAATTATCCGTCATGACACCAAAAATATCCAGTCAAAAAACTTAATAACACACGCATCTAAACATACTCAGTCATCAAAGAGTAACGTTGAAAACAAACAAGTAAAACTTACAATCAGTAATGCGTAGCGATAAGGACAAAACAAGTAAAGAATATAAATATCTAGAAAGGATTCTCTTGGAAGGACGGGAAAATAGATGGTGAAATAGAAACAGGATGCTATCGAGTCAGTGCACGTACATACCAACTGACTACATTTTTAAAACGTCAAATATAAGTATGAGCGCCAAAAAAAAAACAGGTTATAAACATACCGCATATTCATATCAACACTGAACTACCATTGCCAGAAATGGACATTATCAAAGGCCAACCAACGTAATATTAAGACCTGTGAAATGAGAAAACCCGCCAATTCATCCATCCGAGACAAAGAAAGGATATTATCATACAGACTGAAGGAACAACAACATACAGTAAATTTATGAGGAAACAGAAGATCACATTGTTGTTTGATCATTCAGTAGCAATGCAACCAGGGCAACTACCAACGCAGGCGCTACACATGAAAAGACTTGAAAGAAAACAAGAGGCCACCCTAGGTGATCATGTATTGATGACATTAAAGAACTTGTACATTTACACATAATGGCAATATCTAGTGCTGCCCATTAAGCAATAAATCACAAACTGTTCCTCCCCACAACGCTTAACTACAGAAGAAGAAACTGATGACGATGATGATGATAACCATAAACACATCAAACATACCCAATCATCAAAGCGATGTGAACAATGCCGCCGAAGCCAAGGACCACCTCCCTGGGTATCTTGTGGGAGAACACAGCCACAAAGATGGCACCCAGCACATTGGAGACACCTAGAGTGATCATACAGTAGCCCACGTAGTCGATTCCCAGGGTGCACGTTACAAAGTACTGCAATTTAAAAAACAAGTATGTACTCGTCGTATGCATACGTCCTCCATTTGACGACGTAGTCGATTCCCTGCACGTTACAAAGTATTAAAAAAACAAGTATGTACTCGTCGTATGCATACGTCCTCCATTTGACGACGTAGTCGATTCCCAGGGTGCACGTTACAAAGTACTGCAATTAAAACAACAAGTATGTACTCGTCGTATGCATACGTCCTCCATTTGACGACGTAGTCGATTCCCAGGGTGCACGTTACAAAGTACTGCAATTAAACAACAAGTATATACTCGTATATATACGTCCTCCATAGGATGATGAACATGACAACAGCTGCCCTGTTTGATTTTTATCTGGGAAGATGGGATTTTCTTTGTCACAATACTTTACTTTCTTTGTTAAGAAATATTTTTGTTAAAAAACAAACTGTGTCCAGTTTCGACAGTGGTAGCAAGAAGCCGACCGTCCAGGAGGCAACGGCAAACTACTGGACATAAACTTGCCTAGGAACAACAGCTAAAACAAATGCTTGGGTGAGTTCTGCAACGTGATCAATTTTAAGGCACACAAAACTGCCATAAAATAATTATTACATGCACTAAACATTATTATAAGGGTGATCAATTTTAAGGCACACAAAACTGGCATAAAATAATATTTGTACCTGATTGTAGTCAGAGTAAATAAACCCTTGCTGCATTCCATTAAAGAGGAGAAGTGGAACTAGAAGCTTCAGCGTTTTGTGTTTGACCAGCTGCCTCAGATGCTGTAGAACTATCTGGAGAAAAACAACACAGATGTTTACATATATTTAGTAATAGACACAACTCACTGACTAGAACAATCACGAAGAGAACAGAAAGATCGTCTGCAAAGACAGTGAACGTTTCGACCGAAGTCTTTTTAACAGAGTAATTATAAAACACAAAATCAGAATCTCAAACAAACAAAAGGAGGAGAGCACAAACAAAACCAAACGTTTCGACTAAAGTCTTTAATAACAAAGTAATTAAAAAACACACAATCAGACTCTCAACAAACAAACAAAAGGGGGAGAGGATGGGGAGAGCGCAAAAAACCCCAAACGTTTCGATGAAAGTATTTATGAAAGCAATACTAAGTACAACATAAACGCAGCAGCTATTACAGATAGCCTGCGAACAGCCAAGGTAAACATAAAACCAGAAATACGTTTTTGCAGAAAATATTGAAACGACCATTAATAATATGGAACGAAACGATTAACAAGCCGTCTGAAATGTAAACAAATTCCATAGTTAAATTAAAAGAACACAAAAGGCTGAAAATTTATGTTTGCAGGACCGAGAATACCCAACCTTGTTTGTGTCGTGTTTAGTACTTCCTGTTGCCGGGTGGACTGCAATTACTCTGTATTAATCACACTCTTCCCCCCCCCCCCACCATTTTCCCTGTTACTGCTGTATCTGTATAACATTGCTCTCTGTGGAACCCTGTCTGATGATTCCTTTTTATATATTTTAATAACCTATTCTTCCCCTCTCGTGAGATGCAATTTTTCGCTATTCGAGGCCCCACCCTGGCTCTTGCCAGGGGCCTCAATATAACACGGCCATTAATATGTCCTAATGGCTTAACGCAGCGGCGTCCGTGGCTAAGGCGTTGCGAGTCCGACTCGTAAGCCAGCATACCGCGATCGAAACCCACTGCAGGCTTGTGTTGTGATTTGTGTCGTGTGGTATGGGGACTCGTCGCATGGTCGAGCCCAGCCTAAAATGCGGTACCAGGATGGGCATCTCCGTCCTGGGACAAGTAAAGACAGCGGCGTAATGTCCCCGACCACATTACCCACAGAGTGCTGATGGTCTGTAAAAATATGGACGCTCTGCCCATATGCCCGATGCGCCGAAAGGCTTGAAAAGGAAACTTTACTTTACTTTACTTTAATGGCTTAACGCGTTTTCGGGGATCTCTGCACGCGTGATCCTCATCTGCACATGGTGGCACTTTGTGCCATCGGGTGTTTATCACTTGTGTGATGTCCTGGTGGGGTAAAAGTACAACTACTACTGCCCTGTCTGATGCCAATTTTGTTACATGGCCAAACCCAATTGATTTTACACTTTTGACGTACAATAGGTACATATTTTAAATTGTATTTGTTAGTCTGTCTCATGGAAGTTTAGGATCACTGGTGACACAGCAGTTAGAGCAACTGTTTTCGAACCGCCATAGATAATTCTATGAAAATTCACATTCCCTAACTTATCGACCCAGCGTACACAAAAAGAAGGTGCAGTTTAATGTTTATGCCCTGAAACGTTTTGGGTACACAGTGCTCGCAGTATAGTTTATACATGTGTCGGCACAGGCTGAACGAAAGTTAAATGCATTCGAATTAAGCGCTGAGTTGAGTTGATTCAAGAACCGACATCATAGCTTTCGGACCCCTCCCATAAGCGCTCCGTCTTCATCTTCAGCAGCCAGCAAGGAGTTCCAATATCTTGCCTGTCCCCTGAGTGTCGAGCATCAGCTTGAACCCCTCGTCATCCCTCGCTGCATAACTCTCACTAGACTGAGGTGATCCATTTGCTCCTCCGAATTAAACACGTGCTCCCAAAAAGCTTTGACCATGTTGGCTTTATCATGCATCAATATTCCACCAAGCTGTCCACCTGTTTACTTCCTAACACACCGGCGTCACCCGGAGACAAGACACAGACAATGCCGCTCACCCGTAACCTAGGAAGCAAAGCCTGCCACTCTTCACGAAGCATGTCTGTCCTCACCTTTCTCAGCATGCTTTCTGAGTCAGTTACAATTACTATGTGTGTGTGTGTCATGTTCTCTAACCAGCGGAAAGCTGCAGTGACCGCCTTCATCTCCATTCTTAAGCTGGATAAAGTGGTCTCATTTGAGAGGCTCTCCTGCACCAACACTTTGACCATTAGCTTTTGCTAAGAGCCCAGAAGTACTTTTTAAATAAAATACATACGAGAAGGAATTTCTTCTTCTTCCTTATTTCCCCCAGTTATTTTATCGAAGTGTTAGGGATGGGACGGGATGTAAGGATATTTTGTTCTTTTCCCAGTGCATTGTAAAAGTTGGTCTTCATTTAATTTAGGCTGCTGTTGATGCCCTTGTTTCATCTTCTGCGTGGTCTTCCCTTTCCTCTATGTCTATTGTATTCCTTTAGCGTGGCTCTCTGTGTCAGCTGGTACCAAAGGATTCTCATGAGACGGCCGAACTATCTCATATGTTGCTTTTTAATAAACTGTATGGCTGGATACAGGCTCAGTCTTGTTTTTATTTCTGTTAAAACATTTTTTTTTAAACACTGGCTGCTCTTTAGGAACATTGGAGATGATTTTACTGTCAGCATACCAGTAGCCAAGAGAAAGTTATGAGATATGTATGCGTGTGAAAGCAAATGCCAGAGGAAAAGGTCAAAATTAAACGGAATGAATTCAAGGCAGATAAGATTTGAGGTTTGAACAACGGATCAACGTCATGGTACCCATAAGTGCTCCGTTCTTCTTCTTACGCAAGTCTGAGTCTTCAGAAGCTCAGCACAGAGCACAGGCTCTGTATCACCGGCGATAATCCTGAAAAACTTTAGGTAGATTTTTAACTCCACATTTTGCCCAGGCAGCGCCGTTAGGCTACTCTTTTCGATTTCCAACATCCAAGAGATTTTCAAAGTGCGCTAAAATACACACAGGCAACGGATCTCAGTACCCAGAGACCAGGGGGAATGTCTAGAACTCCAAGTCCACGTGAAAAAGTCCCAGCCCTTACCGGGGATTGAACCCGGAACCTCTAGCATTTGAGGCAGACACCATGCCTTGAGAAAACTCAAACCTCTAAGGCAGATGCAAAATAAGAAGAAAACAATCCAGATATTTAGAGACCACATTGAGGAATGGCTGGACAGTCGCTTGTATCAACATTCTAAGGAAAGATTATAGCTCTATACTGGGCACATCCTGATGAAAGCTAGCAGAGACATCATCATTAAATAGGCACTGTAATAGGAAACACCTGAATTGAAAAAAAAATAATGCCGAAAAGAAAGGAGGGCTGAATAGAGAGGTCAAAATGCCTGACAAGATACCATTCAAGATATCACAAGGGTTGCACAGGAGAGGACCAAATGGAATCATAAATTGTGAGCCCCATCCTCAAATGAAAGGCACAAAAGGATACACGATGATGACATATTTTCACTCTTTAAGGAGATGTGCCAGAAAATCATTTGCAAAAAAATCGAATCTGGTATGTCAGAACTATGAAACCACTTTCACAGAAACTAAGCCGACGACGCAAACGTAAAAATATACAAATGTGAACATAAACACATACCTTTCTCGCCCTCTTTCTCTCTGTCTCTCTCTCTCTCTCTCTCTCTCTCTCTCTCTCTCTCCTCTCCTCTTCTCCCCCCCCCTCTCTCACCCCGCCCCCCACCCCTGGCTCACTCGCTTTCTCTTCCTTCTTTTCCGCCTCTCCTTTTACTTCCCTCCTCTCTATCTTAATCTCTTTATCTCTCTCTCATATATATATGAATATATATTATTATATTATATAATACTATGCCATGGTATTGTCGGTTGATAAGAACTTAAATGCTTTCCTGGCCCCATTGGCGTTATACCAAAAAAACCAGGGTACGTTACCCAAAACAGGGACGTATACCAAGCAACACTTGTACTAAACAGGACGTATACCAAAAAAGACTTGTACCAAACAGGACGTATACCAAAGACTTGTACCGAGTAGGACGTATACCAAACAAGACGTGTACCGAACTGGACGTATACCAAACAGGACGTATATCAAACGAGACTTGTACCGAGCAGAACGTATACCGAAAGGATGTATACCAAACAGGACGTTTACCAAACAGGACGTATACCAAACTTTCCCATGTTTGTCTCCTGCTCGCCTCTCTTCAACTTTTCCCACCAGTAAGTTTTCATACAATTATTGTGTTAAACTGGTCTTTTTCGTGTTATCTTACTTTTAATTTCCTAAGAACCAAGTCTTCAATCTTCCTAATTTGAATTATCTTATCAATCAATGCCCACTTTTCCCGCTAAGAACCGTATCAAAGTCCTGTTTGAGAAAAAAAAAATGTTTTCAAGATGTTAACGACATTTAAATGAAAGAAATATTCACATCTGAGGAGAAAAGATCAACCAAGAAGAAATCAAGCGAGGCTGCAAAAAAAAAAAAAAAAAAGCGTACCCATTCCAGACAACTAGGCAACTTGATATTGATTTATAAATGATTTGAATAGGGTTTGCGGGGCGCTGAGTGGTCTTTAGTGGGCTTGGCGTCCACCTCGAGTGCTGGAGGTCCCGGGTTCAAGGCCAGGAGAGGGCTGGGATTGTTCACGTGGACTTCTAGTTATTTTCCATGGTCTCTGGGTAGTAAAATCGGACGCCCGTGTGTATTGCTGATGAAAGGTTAAAAAAATTCCTTGGCAGTTGGAGATCGAAGAGCGTAGCCTAACGGCGCTGTCTGTATGTATGTATGTATGTGTATGTATGTATGTATGTATGTATGTATGTGATGTATGTATGTATGTATGTATGTCTGATCTGTATGTATTATGTCTGTCTGTCTGTCTAGTAATGTATTCTTTCTGTCTGTCTGTATGTCTGTCTGTGTGTCTGTCTGTCTGATCTGTCTGTCTGTCTGTCCTGTCTGTTCTGTCTGTGTCTGTCTGTCTGTCTGTCTGTCTGTCTGTCTGTCTGTCTGTCTGTCTGTCTGTCTGTCTGTCTGTCTGTCTGTCTGTCT